CCAATTATGTCCACCCACCAGATGATCGGGATAGAGATTCAACTCTCTCCAACCCCACTATTCGTTTTCTCTGTGTATCTCCCCAGCCGCTCTGGGTGCACTGATATATTCAGAGAGTCTCTAGATCGTCTAGATGCAGCACTGGAATCCCTTCCCCCCCAATCTAACATCATAGTCCTCGGGGACTTCAATGCTGATCCAGGGAGGCATGGTGGTCCCCACTCTACAACATCATTGAACGAGCAGGGAAGGATCTTGGTACCCTTTATGGAGAAATGGGACTTCATCTCTACTCATCTCCACAGATTTCAATCGTCATCCTCCCCACACATACGAGAGTGATGCCCACTCAACCCTCTCCACCATTGATCACATCATGTGTCAGGAGAGGCTCCTACCCCATGTCACCGACTCTCACCCTCTGGCTGATCATCATCTCAACCTCTCGGACCACCTCCCAATCATAGCATCATTTAGGATTGAACACCGTCCTCCCCAGGTCCCCTCTTCAACAGCAACTAACCCCTCTGCTCCTCCATTCACCCCCCGCAACTGGACCTCAGTCTCAATGGAAGCCATCTGTGCTCTTTACACTACTCCTCTCGAACAACAGCTAAACATTATGTTCAGCTCCCTCCCATCGTCACAACTCCTAGCCCACAACCTGGACCTTATTGACCTCAAACTCTCCACCTTAACTCAGGCTCTTCTCTTGGTGTCCAAGAATATCCCTCCAAAGAGATATCAACCATTTAAGCGTCCCGGCTGGGGTCCTACAGCGAAGGCTGCGAGTAGGAGGTGTAAACAGGCTTACAGGCTCTGGGTTCATGCTGGCAGACCCCGTGACCCAAACAATCCAGCTGGGCTATCCTACAAACATTCTAAGAAAGAGTTCAGAGCCCAGTTACGGCTACAAAGGAAGCTCGCCGATGAAGCCTTCTACAACTCCCTCGACCTTGACATGGACCCCCAGTTTCTTTCAGTCCATTCGTCGCCACACCAGCCCATGTGCCAACAGACCAGTAACCAGTTATATCAACGTGGGAGGCACCTCCTTTGAGGGCCCTGGAATTATTGAAGGTTGGGCACAATACTTCGAAGCACTCAGCACACCACAACAGGGAGCATCGGGTACACATGACTGTCATCTAGAAACTACTCCGCCTACTAAGGAACTCCCCCACTACTGAACTGGTCCTGATTACTGTGACCGAAATCGAAGACGTCATCTCATCCCTTCCGTTGAGAAAGGCAGCAGGTTATGACCATATTACCAATGAACACCTGAGGTTCGCTGCTCCCCCTGTCAATGACATCCTAACCATCATCTTCAACTCGATTCTCCTCTCTGGCCACATCCCGACCTCATTCCGTCACGGTTTAATCGTTCCCATTCCTAAAGGTAGAAACATTGATGTCTCTAATCCATCTAACTTTAGAGGGATAACACTGCTCCCTGTGATCAGCAAGCTATTTGAGAAACTTCTTCTATCTCGCCTGTCCAGCCTAATGTCGAACATCCACCCCCTCCAAGGAGGCTTCAGACCCAAAACTAGCTGTATCCACACAGCTTTTGTTTTACAGGAGTCGATTCAACACCTGCGGAGTCACAAGAAGAAAGCCTATGTAGCTTTCTTGGACGTCAAGAAAGCATATGACACAGTTTGGCATGAGGGACTACTTCTGAAACTCCTGCAATTCAACTTCCCCCGTTACATCTGGTCACTCCTCCATAACTGGTACACTGGATGCACCTCCTCAGTCCTGTGGAACTCACATTTCTCCCGATCCTTCCCAATCCGCCAGGGGGTGCGGCAAGGCGCAGTTCTTTCACCATTTCTGTACACAATCTTCGTAAACGACCTCCTGGTACAGCTATCCTCCTCTGGGCATGGAGTCAAGATTGGTGACATCTTCTGTGGAGCTCCCATGTACGCGGATGACCTAGCTCTCATAAGCGATTCTGAGACAGGTCTCCAACACATGCTGGATATAGTGTCACTGTACGCTGCTAAATGGAACTATGAACTGAACGCTAGGAAATCGGCAACTGTGGTGATTGGAGAATCCAAAAACTCGAGAGATCTACTCCGCCAGTCAAGAAGATGGTATGTCTCTGGAGAGATAGTGCCCGAGAAAGACATCTACCACCACCTAGGCATCCTCCGCTCAGTGTCGGCATCCACTCTCCAACGAACTACTGAGCGATGCAGTGCAGGTAGAAGTGCATTTTTCAGCTTGAATGCCATTGGGGCCCGCTTCGGTTGCCTACACCCTGCAACAACTCTCCGGCTCTACAAGACCTTCTGCATACCTATCCTCCTGTACGGATCTGAATTATGGCACATCACCAAGACAGAATTGCTCCTGCTCGAGAGAGTCCATCGAAGAATATTGAGAACACTTCTCGGCCTCCCAGTCCGCTGCAGCACCAAGGCCCTTCTCCACATCTTGGGAATTCTCGATGTCAAGGCCCTCATCCACCAAAGACAGATGAACTTCCTATTCTCCTTCTCACGGTTACCCTCCGACTCACTCCCTGTCCAGCTACTGCGCATACGTCTGGAGAACCCACCACCAACTGGGTTGATCCCCACACTGCAGAACACCCTGGCTCAGTATGGATTCCCCCCTACCAACATCATACTTGCTGGCCATTGGAGCCAAGGTGGGTGGAAGAGGACTGTCAGACGTCTGCTGCTGGCTGAGCAGTATGCAGACTTCACCTCTGACTGCAGTCACCTCCCTCTCTCTGAATGTGCTGAGCTGAAGCTGGGCAGGATCATCCCCCACCTCTTAGTCTGTCGCGGGTTCCCACGTGCCACGAAACTGAACATAACGCGAATCCGATTGCTAGTGAACTGCCATGGTCTCGGGACAGATACATGCAGATTCCGGAACAACGTCTCAGACCCAACATGCAAGCTATGCGGATCCGGACCAGAAGACACTACTCACTTTATATCTCACTGCCCCGCCCTCTCCTCTGCCCGTATTCTCCCGCCTCTGCTGGCGGCCTCCGACCTAGCGCCGTTATTAGACTCAGACCCGAACGGTTTTGCGGAACACATCCTGGGAATTCGCTGGATCGAGGATCCGCCACTTCAGAGAGAGATCGTTGTGTTTCTACATCGTCTACACTCCGAGCATCACCGTCAACTACTCGCCCTCATATAATTGCCTACCCCATAGGCTACTCTCCTTCAGTGGAGGTTACAAAGAAGAAGAAGAAAAAGTCTCATAATTAGGGTCATGTACCTTACATACCACTGTAGTCAAAGGAGACAACAAAAGAGAGCAGTACCACTCCATATATATTATATATAATATTAGACACCTTGTTACACACTGCTTGATGGCAAACCCGTGGCACCGAAAACTCCAGGAAGTGTCAACTATGACATCCAACTGCACTCAATCTTATAATGCTGTGGTCTTGGCCCTCCAGATTAGCCAATCGCAGGCATTTAAAAAAACACATAAGAGCAGTAAAGCACTGAGCTAGTGTCATAAAGTGCAGCTTCTGTGGACTGCACACTGACAGTTGAGTTGTTGTTCAAACATGCTAGTCAGCGTGTATGTATCTTCTTCAATATTCATGCGTTCTTGATTGACAGATCAACAAACGTGACCAGCCACCAGCACTCAGAAAGAACTACACCACGAGAGTGTCACTCCGTGAGACGATGCAGAGCAAAGAGAAGTATCGGGACCCAAACATAGCTGTTGGGTTCATACATAATAGTTTGTGTGTGCAGATCAAAGGAACCGCCAGTTCTGTTTCATTGTGCAGAAAGGTTTTCAATGGCGCAGTGAGATATAACAAAATATGTCCCATGCGCAGAGAGGCTTACAGTTGTTTGTCTGTCTGTCAGTCAGTCTGTCCCCCGCTATTCTGGCACTACAGGCTACGATGCAGCAAAAGAGAGATACCAACAACATTAGTGCTGTGTAGGCATAAAAATTAAAATGGCGATTTTCCTGAATTAACCAGTTACATATGATGTAAAACATGGTTGAAAAAGCGTACATGCTAATGAGCATTGGCTTACCTTCACCGGTGGGTGATTGCCCGTCAACACACGGTTGGAGGCACAACGTTGCTTGGAGGACAAGTATGGAGTCCAGTGTTGCTCTGAATGCTGCTCACTGACGCTGCTAACCCGTTTTAGAGCTAGAAACTGACATCCACAGCGACCGCGTGGACTAAACAAGCACATCAAGTAGAGGTACATTTTGCACATGCGTAATACGTATCTATCCTAAAGCTGGCACCTAGGGTTGCCATTTTTGTGTTTTCATTGCAAACTGTCATTATTAACCCTCGGTGCGCATGTGCAGCGAGGGTTACGGTACTTAGTTTGTAAGTGTGTCCGTCTGTCCGTCTGTCTGTCACCACATTTTCTGTGACTGTGCGCAACGAGATAACAAAATATCGATACCAACGGGTTCGTCGCTACACTGGCTTCATTTTTAAAAAGGCGATTTTCGTATAACTGCTTCGTTCAAAAGTTATGGTGTGAAAAGCAAGTGAACAAGCCAATTTGCAAATTAGCACGGGCTTACGTACGTACCTCGACCGTGTCCACAGGCTCTGTGTATCTTGCAGGCACAAAAAGTCACAATGAAGGGCATGTATCGACTCCTGCATGTTATCTACTACTGTAGCTAGCCCGTGCCAGACTCTCCGCAAGCTACTAGCGGGGTACCACGAGTAAAGGCATACAAAGCCCAGGCCATCAATTAGTGCTACCGTGCATGCGCAGTTTGCCGAGGGTTTGCACTTTAGTGCTTTTCATTTACTATGGTACAGTTACTGTCATGCATAGATTCCCCTGCGATAACTCTTTCAAAAACTGCCAGTATAGCGGTAAACTGGCTCTTCTCGCTTTTGGCCAGTTTGTTGGTTTTAGTGGGAGAAAACGAAATGAAAGGTAATGCATAAAAAACCAAGAACCATAACATTGGTAAAGGTTGAATAAAAAAATAAAGTTACAAACCCGTCATATGTCAGGTGCTTTACACATTCTCCACCGTCACTCTCGTTCCATATGGCCCACACCTCACTGTTAGTACAACACATGTCCACTAAGTTTCTCTCCTGAAGAAGTATATACAAAACCATGGCAACACAGTCACAGATTGGATCATTCTTACCATAATGCATGGGAAGGAGGAGATGTGCTCTAAGTGAAGTTGCCGGTCTACCACCAGTAGCTGAAACACTGAAACCTAAAAAAAAATGGATTGCTTCCACGCAACATTCATACACACACATAGACATATCACCTCTCCAATAATGCACTTCGAGCTGTTTTACATGCACAGCAGACTAGGGTAAAAATTGACTATGCTTGTGCCTAGTTTCGTGCCAACGTTGGGCCTAGAACTTGGCACAGACAGGCCTACCTATTAAAAAAATTGCCTTATTCTCCTATGATGTATGGTACGTAGAATGCACAGAAAGCTACTGCACATAATGGTGATGTATCGTTCACTCCCGAATTTCTCACACCACAAATCTTAATGGTCACTTTCACCTGTGATCCAACATTAGTCTCAATGTACACAGCAAAACGCAAAGATGTTCCAGTAGATTCTGCTGCTTTCCTTAGACACAAGTTAACACCTGTAACACAAGTAGCACAGACACTGTACATACAATTATTGTATGCAGGAGAGAAATTAGACACATTAAATAAGCACTTACAAGGCTAGGTTGCTGACAAAAAAGAATCAATGCCATGTCAAAGACAACGTAAAACACAATTGCATACACACACATCCTCGCATGTTGTACTAATTGCATTTCTGGTTTCAGAACAAAGCGGTGCTCATGAATACATAATAACCCACACTGTTCACCTACCAACCTTGGCATTCTTAATTTGACTTGTTTGCTTTACCCTGCCTTTCTACTTCGTAGTTGTTGACATATGCATACACTAGCTTGTTCGCTATCAACCTAAGCCGTGCAATAACAAAACGTGTCCTAATCCTTGGTACTTATGAAGTTCAAAAACAATGAAACAGACACACACAGGTGAGTGAAGATTCAGATTCAGTATCTTGAACCAGATATTCTTCCAGGTCACAGGTCATTATACACTCTGCTGGCTACAAAGAGGAAACACAATTGCTCTTGATCAAGATACTACGATCATGTTCAAGCCAACCTCAGCTGCCCATAGTCGGAGGTGAATATCACGACACAGAGCAAGGACCACCGTGTTGCCACCAAAGGAGTGCATCACTATACTCATCGGACAATCTTCTGCTGGGCCAGCTCCCCTAAAGAGAGAGTGATATGCATTTCCTTAGTATTACGTACCATTAAGTACTTTATATGCAAGTTTTCATGCACAGCTGCTAAGAACTATTGACGCAATAGGTGGAAATGTAACAGAATTCGACAACATAATAATAATGTCCTTACAGACATCTACGCAAAAAGTGTACATATTCTTCACAGGAACGTTAAAACATAGCAATTGACTTCATAGCGGCAAAAGCCATCTAGTCCGGGTGTAACAGTACGTTTCCTCCAGTTCATAGAAAGCTTCTTGGCCTAGGAACATCATATAGAGACAGATGGGAGGTGTGCCATCCAATGAAAAAGTAGTGTAGAAAATAACCCTCCACAAGAACAGCTATATCTCTGCAAACAAACAGGCTACCCTGGCTATAATTTCAATTAAGGTACAAACTCTTGAAATCATACCGCAGGCATGGTCACATTAATATTTTTCATATAGACAGGGTGAGTCTCCAGTGCATTTCTTGTATAACTGTTGCAGTCTGCACCTTGCTCTTGGGTGTAATTGACTTGTGTTTGCTTTGCTTTGCCGTTCTACCTCACTACCCACAGTTTACACATGTACCATATGTAGCTGTGGCATCTCCAAATAAATGTTTTGGTCCCTCCTAAAAAAACAGCTAGGGTACGGGAAGTTTTGCAATAAACAACGTACATTATTGGTAGTCACATTAATAGAACTAGGCTCTAGAATATGTACGAGAGTATCTGTACATACAGGTGATCAAGTCACATTTGGAAGTTTTCTGTCAGATCACATTACTGCGTAGAGAGACCTTACAGAAGGTCTCGCAGTAAATCCGTGAGATCAAGCATAATACGTAAACGTAGAGCAAAGATGTCGTCCACGGGGCCTTTTAAACTATATCACTGAAAACTGATACCAATATTGATGAACAGGTAAACACAAAGACACAAAAGTAAACCACGTTCTGCAACCATCGTTGCACATGGAAATCTTAGCAAACATTATATCATAAAAACAACTTACCTAAATGCAGACGGAACAACACTAGCCCATAGTTTGTTGATCACAGAAAATTGCCTCAATTCTGTCCTCACTGGTAGGCCTGGAGAATAAAGAGTCTAATTAAATCAGGCCAAATTTACAAATAATCATTATATATACAGTTAAAATGAAAAGCACTAAAGTGCAAACCCTCGGCGAACTGGCGTATGCGCGGTACCGCTAAGGGGCTATTGGCGTTTACTCGCGGTCTCCCGCTAGTCGGAGAGTCTGACACGGGCTAGCTACAGTAGTAGATAGCATGCGGGAGTCGATACACATCCTTCGCTGTGGCTTCTTGCGCCTCCAAGGTACACAGAGCAAGCGGATCAGGTCGAGGTGAGCCAGCATACTGCACGCATGCGCACCGCTTATTGATGGGTTGGGCCACGCAACGCTGTCCGCGACCGTGTCAGTTTGTCGCTCTTGAACGCAATCGTTTCAGCAAAATCGCCATTTTATTTGTCTAGCCCATGTACCGCTAAAGCTGTTGGTATCGCTCATAAGCCGCCACGTAGCCTGTAGTGCGAGAATAGTCGTAGACAGACGCACAGACAGACACACAGAACGACTACCGTAACCCTCGCTGCGCATGCGCGCCGAGGGTTAATCACCTACAGAACCAGTCAAAGAATGCACAGTATTTCAAGGTGATGTACGTGGGCAAGCATGTTTTCATCCCGTGACTAAGAGCAGTGTGAGCTACTGGGTCTACGGAAAAGCATCATCTTCCTTGGGTGACTTGCACCGGATGAAGTGGTCGGGGCTATGGTCTCCACACTATGGTGGGAGATTAGTGTCAAAATTACGCTCACCAACGTTCATTAAAGATTGTCGCAATACGTACATTTGGGTGGTACCCAGTTCTCATTTGGGTCCACACACTTTTTATTTGGGTACCCAGTTTTCATTCGTGTATACACGCACACTTTTTTATATTTGGGTACCAGAAGTCCATGGTGTTTGACGAGTTTGCAGACTCTGAGGAGGTCCATACAGAACTTCCAGGCACACCCAAACTACACTCTGAAGGAGGGTATGTGACATTTTCTTCACATAATCAATTTATTTACTGTGACTTAAATATGAACTCCTTCGTACCAGCGAGAGCAACACACATAGACTGGAAGTCATACCACCTCCACAATCAGGGTACACTGTTGCATACCTGAAGAGTGTAACTGATCAAGCCAAGGTGTATGTGAGACCACTACCAAAGGACCTAGATGAATCTCCCGCCGCAGAGGAAGAGACAGTAAGGATTTACACCTCTCGTTGCACTGTAACTTTTATTCACACTCATATAAGCAATAAGTTCTGTCCAAAGGAGACATGCCAGAAGTGTGGTGTTTCTCTTCCTCGGAGCCAGCTCAGAAACCACATCAATGTCTGTGGAAGTGATGAAGAACGGAGTGTTCTTGATTTGACACCAACACCACCATCTAGCACACCTTCACCTTCCTATTATTCCCTTTTGACCCCTGTCAAAAGAGGAAGGTAATACCCTGCTCTTCTGACAACAGGACAAAAACTGTCAGGTATATACAGTGGTCTAGGGCATGGTATAGGGGTGTGGTCTATGGTTTTCTGGGTTTTCATAGGCACAAGTAGCCTAGCCGCTAGAATTCAGTGATCACAGCCAAATAGGGGTTGAAGTAATGCCTTTGTTGTGGCCTGCTTGAAGAGGTGTCCTTCTTACATTTTTATAGCAACGTCCTGCTGAAAGCGTGTACCAAAGGAGTCTGTGAGGTCATCCAGGTAAGAAGCTGGTGAAATTACACAATTCAGCTTCCTGTGTGCTATATACTGAAACCCTCTTTTGTTGTGATGGTCAGAGAAGACTACAGCAGTCTAACCCACCTCTAAGTGATGATATGACTTCATCCTTCATGAAATTGTGAGAACAATAATGTTTCCTAAATATAGGTTACACTACACGCACGAGGTGGTTTAGTCGATATACACTAAAACTCCGAGTGGGTGTAGTGTAACCGGTTTGTCCCACAGAACACGCACATAAAACTGGTTTTGAAAGAATTTTGAGTACACGGTCACGATCATGGACGCTGCTGCAGATGAGCATGAGCTCTTTGATATACTAACACAGAATTTGGTTTATTCCGGGGCTGATTGCGATGATGACCTCCCTGAGCTAGATGAGCTCTTCTCCCAGGCGCCGCTTCCGTCGGATATTGATTTGGGGCTGCCGCAAGATCCATGGCTGAATTCATTGGTCCAGGGGACCCACGAGATCTGTAAGGAGTCGGATGCGCAGGCTGAAACTCAACGGCCCAGTACATTTGGTCCCCTAGTGTCGGAGTCTGATATAGCCGGCCGGCAAAAGGCATAGGTACAAGCAAACACCAGAAAGAATAGTAATTGGGCATTGAATGTATGGAGGGATTGGGCAGAGTACCGTAAGAAGCAAAATCCTACGGACGCCCCGACCCGGGTTATGATACCCTGCTGTTCTTTCTTAGGGCCTGAAACGGTTATTGCTGCTTCGGTAGGAACGCTGCAAGTGGCGATATTTTCTAAGACGCAGCATTTTTATACTGCGAACGTGTAATCTGCGCATGCGAGCAGCATTTCAGAGATAGATATGATATACATACTCACTTATAGAGACATATTCATATCTGCAATTACTACAGCGGCTCTTATCTCCACGGCTCTCAACTCCACGGTGGCTTATCTCACGGCAGCTCTTATCTCCACGGCGGCAGGAGATGCTCTTATCTCCACGGCAGGAGATGCTCTGGAAGAAAGGTTTGCAGGGAATTCATTCACCGCAGTCACTGGTCGATACTATGGTATTCATGTCAGGGCTCTACTTTGCATTGAGAAGCGGCGATGAGCATAGAAATCTATTTTTTAGCTCAGTGGAGCTAGTTGAAAAGGAGGGAAGCATTACGTATCTGATTTACACTGAAACTGTCTCTAAAAATAATCCAGGAGGATTAAAACACAGGAAGGTGGAGCCGAAACAGGTCCCTTTGATTTCTAGGGCTTCTGTGGTACAAGGTGAAGTTTAAGTACCTCACCCACCCTTTTAGAGCTGTGATACTAAAGCAGACCACAGCGCCACTGAAGATGTAATGGTGGCTCATGTTGTCAACGAGAGTGCTCGTGAGAGAGATTCGCCTGATGTCATTAATCTTTCTGATGCATCGGACGATTTGTAAGTTATTGGCATGACTACTTTTGTTACTTTTTATTCTTTCCTTCAGTTCACCGAAGTCCTTGAGTGGTGTCATATTACACCAACAAATCAAGTTGCACTCTGAAACCCACGAGTATCACATCCGGAGGAGTGAAGTGTTTCAAGATCTATTGAGGGACACACGTAAAAACGTCGTATTCTCCGTTGAAGCTTGTGAAGACGTACTTCGTTGGGGGGTCAGGGAAAGATACTGGCGAGTTAACGCGAGAAATGTGGTCTCTATTCTCCAGGAGGAGTCGTTGTGCGAAGGAAAGGCTGATCGTTTGGTTTTAGATGCGACGAAGTTACAGGTAATATGCATTATAATTTTCAGTGCTGGCAGACACTATTTAGGGATGGCAAAGGTCAAATCTCACGCTTGCTTGGTTTTAAATCTGGTCGCCCCCTGTGTACGGTGGTAATGTGCATCCGCGTGCGTCCACTGTGCCGAGGGTTTGCAATTTACCGCTATTCATTGTGTTCATTTAGGATGGTGTGTTCAGAAAAGTAGGAATGCTAATGGGGATCTCGGTAATTCAGGGTGGATCAGGCTACCCTTACTTCGCTCTTTCAACGTTTTCGTATATTTCTGGTGTGGATACCTGCTCTATAGTTGCGACTCGGGATGAGATACCAGACCCTGAAGTTGAGGAGGCTTTACAGAAGGTAATTAACATGGCTGCAGTATGGTGTGACAATAAATGTAGTATTCGTTTCAGATCACATCTGGGGGAGATGATGACAAACAGCTACAGGATGTAGCACAGAGCCAATTTGATATGTTGCTTGTTTGCGGCTACACAAAACCGATCGTGCATTTGACACACAAGGATATTCCTGGGATAATAGAATGTGTTACGCTCCACACAACTATTTTGAAGGTTTTCTTTCAGGAGTGTCACACTCTTTCAGAAAATTATTAGGTAAAAGCAGAGTTAGATGAGCTAGTAAAGGGTCAACAGGATTCCGGAGTTCTTGAAGGGATACGCAGGTTTCCAGATCTTTCCGCCTTCTCTTTGTGTTTAAAGACCAAGAAAGGCTAACTGCAGGTATCATAAATAAGATATGCATGGCAGTGGATAATGTGCTCTGCAGAGAAGGTGATGCAAAAGCGTGTGTACTCAGAAAGTGGTTCTTCCAATCATGTAAAGGAGCAAGGCACATACATACATTTCTGTGATTTTTTAGAGGAATTGGAAGGTAATCTAATATCACAATTTATGCTCTTTGCTTTGGTGCACTCACTTCAGTTTTCTGTTTTGCTTTGTTAAAAGCATCACATTTACATAGAGTGAACATACGAATGTGCATAGGAAGATGATTGAATGTTCACGAACATTGCCACTTTTAAATACCATGACACAGACATTGATAGCATGCTGGAATACATGGGGAACTATATTTGGACCTACGTAAGAATGTGTATACCCAAATAAATAACGTCAAAAGTGTGAAAACAGGTACCCAAAAATTTAAAGTGTGCATCCCCAAATGAGAACTGGGTACCCAAATAAAAAAGTGAGCACCAAAATGAAAACTGGGTACTCAAAAATAAAAGGGGGCATACCCAAATGAGAACTGGGTACCCAAATAAAAAGTGTACTTGCCTGATACCCAGGATCATACAGTATGCGTCAAAAAAAAGTTTCCAATATCGTGCAGTTTCGTTTCTGAGAACGGCAATTATCATTCAATACGTTTGCAGTTTTTGACAGCCGTGGCGTTCCGTTTCGTGTTAGCAAGTGTTATGTTCCGTTTCGTTTCGTTTCTTTTCTGCATTATAATGCTAAGCGTACACAGCGCGGTGCAGAGAAAGTGAAACCGACCAATGCCGTACTCCTACTACCTCCGGCATAGAGTGCTT